CTGCTTCTCCCTCTGACCCTCCTCCCTCTCATGCTCTCTGTCTCTCATTCTCTCTCTCGCAAATAAAATAAAATCTTAAAAAAAAAAGAGTCTTTCTCTCTCTCCCTCTGCCCCTCCCCCCCTCTTAAACACACACACACACACACACACACACACCCAGAGAAAAGATCCCTAGGACAAACATGCACAGGGGTGTAGGCCCCTCACCCTCCAGGCCTGGGCTTCCTCCAGGGCTGCACTCAGAGCTTCCCGGGGGTTCTCGATGACACGCCCAGCACGGCCAGAGAAGTCCATGGCCACCAGGGTGTTATCAGAGACACTCCTCTGTAGATGGAACAGGATGGGGAGGAGTCAGAACAGGGCCCATGTCTCCCCAGGCTGGGTCCTACGTGCCCACCCCCAGCTAATGCCCCGGGTGCACACTCACCAACGGTGGAGAACCCACACAGGATGGACGCAGGTGGCGAGACTGTGCCTGCTGGTAATTCTTATACAGCTGCGCCCCATACTGCGGAGTGGAGAGAGAAAGAGAGCCTGAGGTCAAGCAGGTGCTGGGGACTGGGCTGTGAAACCCCCGGCCACTAGCACACCCCGGAAGCAAGACTGTATCTCTGCCCCGGATCAGGAGCTTTCTGAGGCCAGAGCCAGGACTCAGCTGTGGACCAGGCACACTGAGAGAGCAAGGATCCAGGACCCCCTCATTCCTGAGGGAGGAGCTACTCGGCCGAGGATCCAGGGGGCGGGGCCGGCCCCCCATGCCACTCCCGGGGTCCCACCTTGAAGAGGCGGAAAGCTGCTAACCAGCAGCTGCGGCTCTGTTCATCCTCACTGCAGAAGACCCGAAGCCCCTTGTGGCCGTTTCGAAGCTTGTTCGGCTGTAGGAAGAGGAAACCGGCCGGTCCTGTATCTGCCATTAGGACCAGATGTCTGTCTCCGTGGGGCAGGGCAGGGTGCAGAGAAGTGTCTGGGTGTCCCAGATGGAGCTCAGAAGCCCTAGGTAGGATCCTGGGGCCTGAGCAGCTCCCATTCCCTCCCAGGCCCGGCCAGGGTCTTTACCTTGATACAGAAGCCAAAGTCGGTGGGCATCCCATAGAGCTTGCGACCCTGGGTCACCACATACACGTTGGACTCATTCACATCTGCGACATACTGCAGGTGCCTGGGATCCTATGCAGCATGGGTAGGCAGGACTTGTTACAGCAGACCCTATTCCCCCTGCTATTTTCACCATAAGCCAGCTGGGGACATTTCAGAGGAGCAGAGAAGTGCTCCAGGTCACACAGCAAACAGAAGTAGAGCCAGGACTCAAACTCAGTTCTCACCTGCCTTTCCTACTACTACCTCCTGGGGTAGGTAAGCCAGGAGGGAAAGAGGAGCAGCGGAGGGTCTTGGGGCCCAGGGGGAGAAAGATCTAGGCGTTCCAGTAAGGGAAGAGATAACTCCTAGAAGGACTGGGAATGAGATATCCTAGGGGCTGAGGCTGTCAAACCTCAAGACCTCACCTTGGAGGTGCCCTTGGTGGAGTAATAGAGGCCAGAGCGGCGCAGGAAGCAGAAGAAGCGTTTCCAAAGCTTCCGTCCGGACCCCCGTAGCTGCAGAAAGCCCTGGATCTCTGGGAAGCTGCCTGCATTCAGGAAGTTCTGAGACCAGAAGAGAGCAGGAAGAGGGTGAGAGGCCAAGAGGGAGACAGGGAGACACACATGCACACACAGGACTTCAGGAGAGAAGGTGTGCCACATACATTTACTGTCCCATTTCAAAGACAAAGAAACTGACGGTCAGCCAGGAAAAAACTGACTTGTCCAGTCACTCAGCACTGTGCTAGACTCTCCACCACATAGAGGCGAGGCAAAATACTTAAGGGCCAAAAAAGCAATAGGTGATCCTGGGGAATCATGACTATGCCATGGGATGGGGGTGTCCTTGTACCTGGATGAGGTCTTCGTGGGATATGCCTGTCGGTGTGTCCACACAGCTGGAGACCATCTTTTCTGGGAACAGGGAGTGCTGGGACGAAAGGAGTCAGGAGTCAGGGATTGAGGGCCCAGGTTGGGGATCAGGGTGTCCCAGGGCCCAGACCCCCCTCACACACACACACTCACTGGAGAGCTCTTGAACAGTTCATACTTGGCGAAGTTCTTCCGGAAGACAAAGCGGCTGTCTCCACCAATGGGCCAGACAGCCTGCACTTCTACCACGGACTCATGGTCCTCCAAGCCCCGCTCTGGGGTCAAGGGCAAAAAGCAGGGGTCAGCGGAGAGCAGACAGGCCTCCCGGATGAACCACCTGCCTAGCCCAAGGCGCGAAGCATTTCCTCCCTGCCCAGACAGCCCCCTGCACCCCAACTCACCCAGTGCTAGATGGGGGTGGCACTCCACCAGCCCCCAGCTTTCATCGCTCAGGGCATGAGCTCGCTGCACCAGCATCTCACACACGTAGCGGGCCGTAGCGCCCGCCGCCACCTCCACAGACCGGGAGGCCCCATCTTCGCTGTACACCTTCACTACCTGCATCCCAGGAAGCGCACATGACTTGAGGAAGGGCGAAGGGTGCTTATTTCCCTTCCCCTGCTTGCTCTACCCTCAGGGACTTCTGACCAAACCCCCCACCTCCACAGAAGTGGCACCATATCCACCCCAGTCCCATAGCACCCCCATATCCCTGCCTCCTCTCTCCCAAGACAACTCACATGGGGGCAGCTGGTGTCTCGAGGGAGCAGCCCCCTTGCACCGGAGGACCCCCCAAGAATGGGGGTCTGTGAAGGAGGACTGCAGAGCTCAGGGAAGGGGTTGGGGATGGAGGGTAGAGAGGTTGCCCGCAGCTCCTCCTCTCGAAGAAGATTCCTGTGGCCCAAGGTAGGGGGGCAGAGAATTTGCTGACTGCAAGCTTCTGTCTTACCCAGCACTGACCCCCCACCCCACCAGCCCCTCCTCAGCTCCATTACCCCATTGTACCTGCTGGTCGGAATGGGCAGAGGCTGGGACCTCTTCACCTCCCCAGGCAAAGGGGCATCGGGAGGTGGGGGAGTCCCAGGAGGGGTCCCAGGGGCCAAGTACAGGTCTTCTGGGGAGCTGCTGAGATGAGGCGGAGACAGACCCAGCTCCATAACATCTGAGGGAGAAGAGGGGGCTGAAAGCAGCTGCTCTCGTGCCCTTGTCCCGGGAAGAGGGGCCAAGAGGACCTAGACCTCCTGACTTCACACGGCTGCCAAGGTGCCCCTCAGAGTGGACACAGCACCTTATTCCTCCCCCTCTAACTGGAGTTTGCCTGGAGCCTTCGGGAAAGGGTAGCGTGAGCCCATTTGCAAAAGGGGACAGCAAGTCCCTGAGAAGGAAACATTCTTGCCCCCACCACAGGTGAGTCAGGGAGTGGAACTCAGTGTCTGGACTCCAAGTCCAGTGCTCTTCTGTTGCCCAGGGGAAGAGCTAAGAGGGTCCCCCCACCACAAGCCGGGCAGCGGCCCCAGACTCCGCGCCCCACACAGCCTGTTGGAGGCGGACTCTTGGTCTCCGAGCGTGCCCTGAGCATGGGGCACTCACTCCTCTGGGCTCTGCCCCAGGTTTTTCCAGGGCTTCGCTGCCAGACCCAGTTGCCAGAGCCTGTTGTGGCAACGCCTGCCCAAGTGCTGAGTGATGCACAGAAGGGGAGAAGGAGGTGGGAAAGGACAGGAACCAGGAGGGCAGGAGGCTGGCTCAGCTGCAATGAGGACAGCACTAGCCTGGGGGCCCTTGCCCCAGCAGCCCCCAAACCTTGTGTGCCCTCTCCAAATTCCTCCTCCTGCCCAACTTTCTTGAAGCCCCACTGCCAGGGCTACCTCCTCCGAGCAGCCTGCCTGGATTTTCCACCTTCAGCCCAAGGGCTCCCTCTCTGCACTGTGCTGGGGCCTCTGAGGCAATTCCGTGCACCTGTCTTATCCACCCACTGGTCTGGAGCCGCCTGGCACCCCCAGGAAGAGCCAGGGTCCTACCCACGTCCTATTGCCCACAGGTGCTGCACAGGCACCTAGGACAAGGACAGGGGAGCTGGGGCAAAGATGCCCACTGGGGACGGAGGCAGCACAGGCCCCTCCTCCACAGGAAGCAGGACCCCCTGGGCAGGCCTAGAACCTGGCACTGACCCTCCAGGATGGGGCAGGCCCCTGACCCTTAAGTGAGGGGATTTGGGGGACAGGTGAGTCAGGGTGGGGCGGGACAGCACTGCCTGGGGCTCTCTATTCAACCTTGACTCATCTGCACGACTTCCTGGCTTAGGAGAAACACAAACAGCCCTGCCTCTACCCACCTCCCTCCCCTCCCGCCCCCAACCTACCAGGCTGGGAGGACTGGGGGAGGCGCAGGGCAGGGATGGGCTGGGGGAGAAAGAGGATGTGGGGGGGGGGGCCCTGCAGCTCCTCTGAGGTCATTTTCTCCTCCACACCCTTGGCCCACCTCCAGTCCAGGTGGGACCTACAGTAGTCTCCTCCCAGCCCAGGGGGAGGGGAGCCCCCTCCCCCAAGGAGAGAAAAAAGGCCTGGCCTGGATTCAAAGGCCCATCTGGAGCAGAGCCGACCTCCCAGTGATGCCCTCACTCACCCAAAGAAACCACACAGTGCTCCCTATCCTGTCTGGGGCCTACCAGGCTTTCATTCTGCTGCTGCTGCCCACCCCTAGCACCCAGGCCTCAGTGGGCACAGAGGATTCGGCTAAGTCAACGCTGGGGGATGAGGTCCTCCCAACACACTCTCTGGGGTGTCCTGGCCAGAGGGGTACTACAGGCGCAGGAGTAGCAAGACACCCTAAAAGACAGGCAGACAGACAAGGAAAGACCAGGCGGGAGCGGCAGGGAGGGGGCTCAGGGTCCTGTGAGGGGGCCGGCAAGACACACCCACCAGTGAACATCAACAAGACACGGATGTCCCCGCTCCTATCCCATCTATCCTCTGGCCACTAGCCTTGGTGACTTCACTCCAGGGAGACTGGGGGGCCTGCAGGGAAGCCAGAGAGGAAGCCAGAGACCAAAAGTCGGGTCCTACTCCATCCCAGAGGGAAGAGGAATGGGGCAATGTTTGGGCAGGGAGCCGGCAGTAGATTTAAATCAGAATCAGATTAGAGTCCGGCCTCAGACGGCTGGAGGGCCACTGAAGACTTGGGTTTGGCCTTTTGATCCCTCCACCTTGCCCTCCAGACCCTTCTAAGGCAAGCGAAGAGCGGGGCGGTTAGATCCAAATAGATGGGATGGGAGGAGAACGGGGTCCTAGCTGTGGGGCCCGGGGAACACCCTTCCAAGAGACCTGAACCTTTCAAACGGGGGCCCTAGGGAAAGCTTCTGTTGAAGAAACCGACCCCCAAAATCTATCAGTCCCCTCAACACTACAAGTGCAAGCCGACGCCTCCCCCACGGCCTCCCCTGCCCCGCGGCTCGGGCCCCACCCTCCTTCCCGCCCTCCCAGCCTCCTGCCTCCTTGTTTACTTCCTGAATCTTGCCCCACCTGGCTGGCCCCGAGGGCGGGTGGCAGGGCCCAGTATTAAGGGCCCGTAGAAAACAAGGCCACCTCCGTCGCTAAGCCGGGGAGGGGGAGGGGCCGACAGGGCCGAGGCCTCGGCGGGGGACCAGCGGGTGGCGGGAAGACCCCCGTCCGGCCCAGCACTCCACGCCCCGCCCCCCCATCGGGATTTATTGTGGGGGTGGGGGTGGAAGGCTCAACCTTCGGGGAGGTTCTGAGGGTGCAGGGCCCAGGTGAGGAGGCGGGAAACCCCTAGGTGACCCGGAGTTGGGGGGAGGGCCCAGGACCCTGAGGCCCCGCCCACTCCCTCACTCTGGAAAAACGCCCAGTGGGGAAAGGGGGGGGTAAGCTTTCTTAAAGTTTAATTTGGGAAGAACGCTAGACTGTGTCTGTGGAGTTAATCATTACAGGCTGCTTGCCTTCTTGGAGGGCTCCCCCAGCAGGATCGGGGGGAGAGGGGAGAGCTGAGTTTAGGACAGGGCGAGCAAGAGGGGCCATTCTTGAGGGGCAGTAGGGTTGGGAGGCCTTCCAAGGGCGGACAGGTGCATTCTCCATCCCCGCCGTGTCAGGGAGATCCAGACTTGGGTCTTTCTCCAAACACTGCCCCCAAACACGCACACACACTTTTCCTAGTCCCCGCTGCGCCGCAGACCCCCAGCTACCAGCCCTCCAGCCTTCGAGCCTTCATTCCGACGCCAGGAAGGACCGCTGGGCCTGCCCCGCCCCCACCTTCCCTTCCTAGGGCAGAACCCCGTGCTCTGAGCAGGCAAACAATCCGGAGACCGAGCTCTAACAATTTAGGGGATCCCTCTCCTCTGCTGCCCTCCAAATTGGAGAGTGCCCCCCGCCCCCGCGCGGAGACGTCAGTCTTTGGTAGAGCCTTGGGAAAACCTCAAACGGGTAACCTCGGGCTGAGCCAGGAATGACTCGAGGCAGCCCTCGGTGTTCGGCCCCCCTCCTAGGTCTCTTTCTGGGAAGATGGGGAGGGGCTAGTTTCAGCGGGAAAGCCGCGTCTCAGGGAGGAGAGGATCGGAGATCTTCCTTCCCCATCCCCATCAGCTGCTTTGTCCGGGGGCCGGGGGGAGGCGGGCTACAGGGAGGAAAGGAAGGAATAAGGAGACAGGAAATGAGAATAGGGAAAGATTGAGGGCAGATGGCGAGGAAGGGGCGGGATATGGGAGATTGGAGAAAAAGAGAAAGCGAGGCGGCCAGAGCAACACAGCAGGAGACTGAATCTTTCCATACTGACCCGGGACCTGCCGCTGCTCCCCACCCTCAAGATGAAGTGCCCGTTGGGTCCTTACCTGGACCCTGGGCGTAGGAACACCTGGCTGGGGCCACCGGTTTAGGGAGGGAGACGCCAGGTCCTTAACTACCTGTCCCCCTCCTGCCCCGGCCCTTGGCCCGACATCACTGAGGGGGTAAAGAGGAGGGGGGAAGCCAGGCGCCACCTGGGCAACCTGCCAGCTCCTGGCCCTGACACGGGCACAGCCTGGGGCCCTGGTGTGGCTGGCTGGGGGTTGTCGGCTGGGACCGATTTTGGTCACCTTACCTGGAGGAGCCCCAGCAGAAGCAGCAGGTGACCGGGTCCGAAGTCCAGTTCTGTCTTGGGACCCCAGATACCTGGACTTGATTTCAAATCCACTCCTTCTTCTCTACAGGTGGTAGGAGGGTGCCCCGACTTTGGACGTAGACGTGAGGGTTGTGGGGAGGGAGAGCCCTGTGTGTCCAGGCTCCTGGCCCAAGGAAACTAAAATTATCTCGGGCAGGTGGGGGCGGGGCCTGGGGTAGAAGCATGGGAGGAGGAACCATAGGAGGAGGGGCGGGGACTCCCTGATACTACGCCGGCTGGGATTGTTTTTGCCCTTCTTAGCCCGGCAGCAGGTGCCAGGGGAGAGGCGGGGAAGACAGGCGAGCCCTCAAGAGCAAAGATCTAGAGTCCTCGTGCGGGTGGGGGGGGGGGGGGGGGGGGGGGGGACGACGGACTGGGGGCTGGAAGGTAGGGGGAAAGGGCGCTCACCCTTCCCCATGCTCCTCACCAAATCGGGTCTGCTCATTGGCCAAGCTGGGAGCCTGTGTGGGCCTCTGGGTCCCCCCTGATGGGGCAAAGAGCACTCAGAGAAAGAGGGAAACCGGCCAGAAGGGTGTCCAGCAACAGGGGCTGCCCCTTGACCTCCAGCCACAGTCTGGCCACCCAGCCTGCACCCTGGCCCTCAGAGGCACCCAGGGGGGGATATTCTCCCTTCTTTGCAAAGTCCAAGGTCTCAGCTTCTTCTGAAATACAAGGGGTTAGGCAGGGTCTCATGGTGGGAGGAGTGATCTAGGGGAAGCTCTGGCCAGGTGCCAGGGGACTCCCCTTCGAGAGATCACTTTAGCTCTCTCCTCCAGCATTAGGCAAACACAGGGGTCAGGGAGAGGGCCTGGAAGGCCACAGATCAAAGGCAGTGGCCACCTCCCAACCTCAAGTGGGTGACAGTTGGGTAAACAAACAGTCCTTAGGGTGATAAGAGGTCTGCCCTGGGGGACCATCAAGGAGTGGCTCTGGCCTCAACTTTCTCCAAACGGGGTTTTCCTCGAAAAACCAGTAGGAGTGGACTAAGCAAAGAAGTGGGGGAGGGGGCAAGGTCACCTGGGCCATGGCGCAGCATCTTGTGCAAAGCACTCGACGATTCCTTCATTCAATAGTATCTGTTAAGTACCTACTGCATGCAAACCCCATGCTTGGTACTGAAGGAAAAGTGGGGGGCAGCAGAAACAGACCCTGCCCTTCTCGTCATGCAGCCCAGTTGGGGAGACTGATGTTCACCAAAGAATCCCACAAGGGGAACCTGGGTGATTCAGTCAGTTAAGTGACCGACTCTTGATTTCGGCTCAGGTCATGATCTCAGAGTTGTGAGATCAAGCCCCGTGTTGGGCTCCACGCTGGGTGTGGAGTCTGTTTAAGAGTCTCTCGTTCTCTCTTTCTGCGCCTCCCCCTCTCTAAAAAAAAAAAAAAAAATCACCCAAAAATAAGAAATGACAGGTGACCAGTATGCTGGGAGAATGAATCACCCAGAGAGTTGGGGAAGCCTTCTCTGTGGAAGTGACAAGCGAGCAGAGGGGAACTGGAGCAGGGGGAAGGGTGAGATTGGTGGGTGGGAATGGGGGGGGTACTGTTCACGATGAGGAAAGATGCCAAAGCCCTTAGCAGCAGGGGACGCGGCATGCGGAGGCAGAGTGGGGTTGAGGAGAAGGAAGGAGAGGAGGCCCCACGGGTAAGCTCGAGCAGGTGTGGAGAAAGGCAAGCGCTTTGGATTCAGCTGTGTTTCTCAAAGTGTGGCCTGTGACCACCTGCCTCCACGGCTCCTTAGGCTTGTATAAAAACAGATCCCTGGGCCCCTCCCCACCTACTGAATCTCAGTCTCCGGGGCCAAGACCCAGGAATGTGTGGTATTGACAAGCCCTCAGGTGGTTAAACCAGGTTTAAGAGCCATCCATCCTGTCTGTCCAGACGGGCAGGAACTATGGGCCCAGGCCAGACCCTGCAGTGTCTCTCCGGGCTTAAGGAGAGGCGCAGAGAGGCAGGCAGATTTATATTTTGAAAAGATTATGCTGGACGTTGAAGGATGGGGTTAGAAAGGGAAGCCAGACTCAGAAGGCTGAGTGCTATAGGATTCCATTTATATGGCTTTCGGAAGCGGGTGGGACTGTAAGGACAGAAGACAGATCTGGGATCAGGGAGGAGGGAGACGGGTTGACAGCAAAGGGCACAGGGACTTGTGAGGAGGTAATGGAGCTGTTCTGTATCTTGGTCATGGTGGTAGACAGACAACTGTGTGTTAGGACTCACAGAAAGTTACACTTAAGAGGGCGAATTTTACTGTGTATAAGTTATATCTGAACTTTTTAAAAGATTTTATTTATTTATTTGAGAGAGAGAGAGCATGAGAAAGACAGAGATCATGAGCCGGTGGGGGGAGGGCTAGAGGGAGAAGCAGATGAGCTGCTGAGCAAGGAGTCCAATGCGGGACTCTATCCTAGGACCCTATGATCACGACCTGAGCCAAAGGCAGATGCTTAACCGACTGAGCCACCCAGGCGCCAATATCTGAACTTTAAAATAAAAAAAGAAACAACAAAAAAGAATAGGTTTATAGATCAATGGGATAAAATCAAAAGTCAAATATAAGCCCTTACATTTCTGGTCAATTGATTTTTGACAAAGGTACCAAGACAATTCAGTGAGGGAAAGATTAGTCTTTTCAATAAATGATTCTGGGACAATCAACTATCCACATGCCAGAAGATGAATTTAGATCCTTACCTCACAATCTACAAAGATTAACTCAAGATAGATCATAGACTTAAATGTAAGAGCTAAAATAAAACCTCTGAAGAAACCATGGGAAAAAAATCTTTGTGACCTTGAGTTAGGCAGAGATCTAAGATACAACAGCAAAAGCACAAGTGACAAAAGAAAAAAACCAGCAAATTAGATGTCATCAAAATTAAATTAAAATTTAAATTAAAAATTTTGCACTTTAAAAGACATCATTAAGAAAATTTTAAATAGGGTGCCTGAGTGGCTCAGTCGTTGGGCGTCTGCCTTCAGCTCAGGTCAC